TTTTTCATATTACCAGATAGCTAGAGCAGGCAACAGCATTTCCATTAAAAATGGGATATTCTTTTTAATTAACTCATTTATAATAGAAATGTTCTTAGCCACTCCAGCTCTCTGGACCATAAACGTAAGCCTAGATATTCACTTTGTGGCATGCCAACCTTTACTTTCAGAATACAACATTGTGTCCTAAATGGAAATTCTATCAAGAGGCAGAAATTTCCAACCGCAGTTCCTTCCAATTTCATCTATGGGGGTAGAAGTGATTTAATTAAAAAATAATAACAACACTTTTAATGGCAGTGCTATGGAAGGAAAGAGAGTTCCCAGTTAGTGGCAGGGCACATACATGTTGAAGGTCCTGGTTTCAATCCATGGTTTTCCCAGTTTTAAAAATAAGCTGGAGGGAAAAAAACCCTGCTTGAGAATATATGAACCAGTAGAATGGTTTAATAAACTGTATAACAACAGATTTGTTCTCAAATCACCCACCTAAGATGGTTGTATTGTATCTGTTTGCTTTGCTTGAATAGGAAGCAAAATGTATGCTACACAAACATTTATAATGGGAATAGTGCTGACTAGTCATGTCCTGCAAGAGGACAGAGGGAAATCAAGGACAAAACTGTGCTGTGGTTTTTCAGAAGTATAGATCAGCAGTTTCCATCTAGTGTTTTACAAAAATGCATCAAGGTCACAACGCATGACATTGCAAAGCAAGACTTCGGTATCAATGATGACAATGCAATGGGGCAGTGAGTGGAACAACTCCAAGCAGCTAAGGGTTTTCCTTCCCAAGTGTAAGAGAAACTACCCTGTTAATGTAAGCCTTAAGACTATGTTTTAAAGTGATAACAATAGAAGCTATTCATTTCGTGGACAGGAGAAACAGGTTGAAAGAAGTCAAGATAAATGCTAGATAGGCAAATTAAAGCCAGAACTCTGTGCAAGCTTGAGACACAGGGTTTACACTGAGCCAAGAGGTGGGCTGCTCTGGGTCCTAAACAAAATGGTCCAATGCAGCCGTAATTTATCTAAAGCAGCATCTCCTGAAAGAGGGTTTTAATTCAGAAGTCAACATGGAAGAGACTTTCAGGTCAGTTAATTCCTTAATGAGCTGGACTGTTTTAATAAATCCAGCCATATGTTTGGAATTTGCAAATATTGTTTCCAGCACCTGCAGGGACATTGCAAGCTATCTCCAGCAACAGATGGAGAAAACATTTTCTATGTTACCTTAGAAAGCAGCTGGATCAGACAGCAGAATGTGTTCAAAAGTGATGCAAAGTACTTGCACACGCAAGCCAACTCTACCGTGGTGTAAAAAGACCTCTGTCTCAAACATCAAGTTTGCCTTCTCCGAGAGAGACTGTTCCATCTGCAACTACCATTACTAATAATAGGAATCATGTGTGCTTATCAAAGCCTAAGACAGGCTCCTTTGATCTGAGCATTTGTTACTAGTTAAATCTAACTTATCCAGCATAATAGCACTCCCTTCTTTTCGCAGACAATTGTCCAGCTCTCCCATTTATGATATTGAACGCAAAGCTTTCTGATCTCACATTCTGTACATCCTGTTTCCATTACTTTGATACATTAGAAACAACTTTGGCAAGGACAGTGTGCACGCGCATGCACACACACACTCACAGATTGTGATCACTATAATAGAACCAGCAACTTGGCTGCAGTTTCACTTCTCCAATGTAAACAGGCTTTGTTCACTATAAACAAAGGGATACTATGGCATAAGTGGGGAATATTTGCAGGTTGCTCACATCTATCCCTAAGGAACGTCAACAGCTGACACTTGGACACTCAAGCTGTTTTTACTACATTACCCAGAGCGCCTTCAGAAGTTGTCCCAAAGGAGGCTAAGTTTGGTTATTACATTTCAAAAAAAGGATTTTGATGCTCTGATTCTTAGGAATACCCACCAGAATAGCTACAACAGCTTTGGAACTTAGACTAGTTCTGTAGATGAATGCTTTGTTTCTGAGATATTAATTCAATTACCCCAATTGGTGCCCCTCATGAAGCACTGAGCGATCACTCCCCCCCCCCCTCAGCTAGCACAGCATTAGCCATGCTGTCTTGAAAAAAAACAGAGCTGGAAGCCAACACATCTGGAGGGCTCCAACTTGGAGAAGGCTGTACCAAAGCCAACTCCTCCGCCTCCTTTTGTGTCAGAGGAAAAACTACAGTATGAGTCAGGAATATCAACGAATCTGAAAACCGCTGATCAGTACGAATAGAAATGTGCCACAAGATTCTTTCTTAGACCAAGGAGACAAGTTGCCAAGGGTGTTTTAGCCAAGCTCACACAAACATCTTTCAAGGTTTGGGCCAAATAAGAAGGAGGAAATGGAGGGTTCTAGAGACATCAGGGCAGCATTACTGAAGCAGCATGATAAATGAAACGAGCCTTTGGCTTGCCCAAATGACAATTTTATATATTTCCAAGAGTAGCACCACGATTGCACTGTTTGATGCCAACTTATGAAATTCAGAGGGACGTGGCTTCTGAGAACAGACATTCATTTGCTTCTTGTGGCCAATCACCAGTGATAAATGGTGAATAAATAAATGATAAATTTATTTATAAATAGTAAATGATAACCCCATTGTGATTTTAAAAGCCATTTAAAGTAACTCACTGTCCCACCACCATGAACGGAAGGTCATTCCATAGACAAATTACAAGTTGTATAGAATAGCCCTTCCCTTCCCCTATTTTTTAAACAGAACTGAGATGTCAAATAGACATTTTGACAAGGATCGTATGGGAGAATGGGGAAGTCTTGGCTAGACTGTATTGTATTTCCTTCCCCCTGAAATTAAAGGAACCCAACTTTAAAGAAAAAAATGTAACATAAGAGAACATCTGCTGCCCACAACTTCCAACATGAAACACCTGCTTTTCTCAATCCTTCTACTCTCCCTCCTCTCTTTTCGCATTTGCTCATTTCTGGCCATCTAATTTTCAGAGCCAACAGGACTATCTAACAGATAATAAGAAATCTCTGTCAGTAAACTAATACAATCAAACAAGAATTGTCCATATCAGTCAGGGATGGGGGAACTGCCTCCATCTGAATATTATCCCTGTCAGCTTTTTTTATGTTCTAAGAGTCATGTTGTGCACACACACATCACATTAGCCCCAGAACAAAAATTGAACATGTCTGTCTCAATCTCTCTCACAGAGAAAGAAGTAAATAGGTTACCTATAAGCACGCTCTGAAGGTCAACCAACACAAGCTTTTTCACATAACCTTTGATATATTGGGGGGCAGTTGGAAAGAAAAAGACAACAGAAAGCTACATGTTACGATCCACTAGTCCCCCACCCCCAAGTTGCTGCAAAAATGGACCCTTTAATCCACATTATACCTGAGTCTGGACCCTCCTCCCCAAATTCACCAGATCTTCTGAAACGATGAGTTGTAAATCCAGCACAGACGTTCATGCCCAAAACCAAACTCAGCAAGGAGGTTACCTGAAAAGAAAACAGAGCCAGAGAGAGAGAAAGAAGTTAACACAACGAAGCCAGCCTTGAGCTCTTCTCCTGCCTTCTTTTTTTAAGGACATTGTGGCGATGTTGGAGCCCAAGACGGCCGCTGTTCTGGCAGCGCTGCCTCTGGGTCACCCCGTCTCCTTGCCGAAACAGGAAGGGCCACTCCGAGAGGGAATAAATTAATCCGCACCAGCCGCGATTTCTAGGACCGGACGAACAGTCCTTGCCACGCACCGGGGGCTCCCGAACCCCTCCTCCTGAGAGAGCGGCGCTCTCGCCCGCCATCCCGGGCCGCTCCTACCTGATAGAGCTGGAACCCGTTTTCCTTAGCCATCCTCTCCAGATGCCTCGCCAAGCCTCCGCCGGGAGCTCCCTTTGGCAGGAAACTGAGCGCGACGCTCTGTTTGCACAGGCTATTAGCTACAACTAATCCCACCTGGTGAGGTTGACCGCCTCCCCGTGGTTTGTCCAGGGGGAGGTTTCATCACGTGCCGCTCGCAAATCGCAGCTCGCAGGGCCCGAAGCCGCAGGCACTGCCCGCCCGCCTCCCGCCGACGCGCACGCACCCGTTGCTGTGGTGCCCCGCGGGCCGCGCCGCGATGTTCTTGCCCCGCGGTGGCCAGCAGGGCCATCTTCGCTGGGGTCCTGCGGGCGAGCGCGAGAGGGGCTGCGAGAGGAAGCCGAGGCTGTGCGCGCGCACTGCCATCGCTGCCTAAAAACGGCGGCGGGGGGCGATTTCCTCGGGCGCCGAGGAGAGGCGAGAGCGAGCGACGTGAGGGGCGAGAGCCGCGCTTCGGCCCCGAGCAGACCCGCTGAAAGCCACGCTCCCCTCTTCCCCCCAGCCTTCCTTCCAGAGGCGAGGGCAGAGATTTGTATTATCTCTACGAGGCGGCGGCATTCTTTCGAATCAAGAGGGAGCCCAAGGAACAGCGACTTTTGACACATTAGGGCTTGCAAACAGACCCAGAGGGGGACTCTGGGACTTTCCAAAGGTCCCTGAACTACAGCTCCCGATGTCCCTCCTCAGTGAGCTGGTAGCGGTGGGTGCTGCTGGGAGTTGCAGTTCCCCATCCTCCAGTGGGCGGCAGGTCCCCAGCTTTGAAATGTAACCTCTGTAAGTTACACAGCTGAAGGGACAAGGTGGGTTGTTCATGCTGAGAAGTGGAGCTATGCCGTGATTGAGACTCCAGGAGAAGAGTGGAGGTCTGCAATGCTGACCTGGATTGAGCTCCCTAAGCTGAGAAAAGGGTTTCTCAACCTTAGCAACTTTAAGATAGGTGGACTTCAACTCCCAGAAT